TTTGGAGAAATTCTGAAAGCTACACAAGCTTCATTGTTAGACAAGACGCACGATGATCATGAAAATCGATACTAACGACGCGGACAGTGTCATTGGCCGAGTCCTCATTCCGTTTGAGTTACTTGCTCAAGCTTGAACTAGCTGAAATATCATCGCTCATGAGCATACCGCTGCCGGAGTCACCATCGCTAGGTCGCTGCTCGAGCTAAAGGACGGAAGCTCGATGTCTAGGCTTCTATTAATAACTCTTTGTGATGTATCAATCGAAGAATCACCGCTCGATTCGACAGAGTTTGTGCCCCCGCACTACCAACACCCGATGACATGCTACTCAAGTTATCTGTGGCTAGCGGCTCTGAGGTCGAGGAGGATGAAGGTTGAGGGTCCCCTGTTGGAAAAAGTTAGTCGCTTTGAATTGAAGAGTGGATGAATAAACTGAACGCCACCTGTTCTGAATCGCTTTCGAAATGTTGCTGACTGAGCCCCATCTGAGACCGACGACTGGGTTGTAGAAAATGTAACTACAGTCGAAGAGGATGAAACTTGAGCGTGTGCGGTGCCAAATACTAGAGCAAGTAGAAGTGCAACGAGGGACTTCATATTGAGTTTTGAATGCAAAATAAAAATAGCTTTGAACTCTTGCAAGTTAGTGGAGGATGCGTTCAGAGGACCGACCCTATTGCAGTAAAATGTTGAAATGTGGTGTCTCCATTTTTACGTTTTTTATTCACCGGAGCTCTGTAAAAAGCTATAATGAATCTACATACTCACAAAAAACCGAGACGCACCCGATAGCCAAGAGCTTCCAAGCTTCGACAAGCTGATTTAGTCAAGGGCTATAATAATCAACGCAATCGATGCCACCAACACGAGTATTCCCATCGATCGACCCCCCCCTTTCCATCCGAAACTGCGTTCAAAGTCGAGCTGGCAGAAGTTAAAGTATCATTATTACTAGTAATCGGGTCACCACTAGCAGAGTCATCCGAGTCGTACTCCATGGTGTGACCCTGAATGCTCGAGCTGACGGAGCCAGCCTCATGGCTTTGTGGAATGAACCTGCCATTAGCAGTTAATGAGCATGTAGATTGATCTTACGAGCGAGTGAGATCGTGTCAAACTTATGCAGTTTGTACAGGGTGCTAGACGCACCGGCTGGAGGCGTTGAAGTTAATGAACCTGTGAAGTGAGTGCGACTGTGGAAGACCGCCAGGAGAGAAGGCACGTGGACTGGTGTACTGGCAGGAGTAAGGGGGCCAGGCGCACGACATCGAAGACCCAAAATGAGCGGCGGGGAAGTTGGGTGAAACTGCTGGGGCGAAGATATCGAATGACCTGCGAGAGCGGCCGGTAGGACTATACTCAGTTTAAGTGAGGCTGAGGGCTCTGGGGGCGCGTTCGGCCGCCCAGCTCTCAGTTGTGATTCAGCTTAGAGACAGAGAGAGAAGTAGCTAATCTAATCTAACACGCGTGAGATTCTGCGGCACGGGTTGTCGATCTCACCCAACGGCAAGAATAGGCTGTTAGCGTTGCGTACTGCGTCCACGGCGAGCGGTGTAACGTGAACGTACATTTTGGTAAGTGCACAGGGGGTCAGGAGGTGCGGAGATGAGGATAGTCACTTAGGGTAGCTCGGATCACGGCTAGTGACCGTGAGGGCTACGGTGTGAGCTAAACGTATGCGCCTTGACCGAGGGGAACGTGGCCTGGAGCGTCTATGCGCACGGAAGGGTCCGTGTTCCGTAGGTATATATACGGGTTTACTGGGTGGAGGACATGCCAAAGTAAAATACCTGAGTTGCGGCTGCCTTCAAACGCCCTCTCCGAATTGGTTCCTATCCCACTCCACGCCTGATGGGAGTGGTTTTTCTAGCGCCATACCTGCGTAGTTCCTACTTTTTTTGAGCTGGATTGTACAGCGTTAGAGCTAGATACGACGATAGCTTGAATCTTCTACGCTTTTGATGCATCTATCGAAGATTCACTGCTCCATCCAACAAAGTTAACCTCCCCAGCACTACCAGTAGCCGCGCTACTGGAATTTGCTGTCATCAACAGCATATTATCAACATGTTAGACCTCAGTAAACGGTCGATCCTGAAAACTTGAATCGCTCCTTAAAGGTTTTACACCTCCGAAGGGGGTATTTATTTGGAGCGCTGTGAGCGCCTTGGGGCTGACGACGTTAGAGTCGACATCTCAGCGTAAGCATTGCCAATCGTTACAACAAAAATAATCGAGGGGAAGAGCTTCATCTAGGGCGTCATGAATTAAAAAAAATGGGTTCAGTTAACGCTGTTTGCGGCTGCGTATCTAGGTTGCAAAAAAGAGCGGTCGTCTCCATACTTTTTACTTTAAAATTTTTAAACGAAATATAAAAAAGTTAATGGTTAGCAGAAAACTACTAAAATGACTGGAATCGTCAGCGCAAATATAGCAACTGACTTAATGCCAACGCCCGAGTTAGTATTTGAAGCACTTGCTTGGCTGCCGTTGTCGTCTCTGGCTGCATTGGGGATACCGAAATCTTCTGATGCCGAACCAAACTCGACGCTGCTGCCACCATTGCTATCTCCAGCACTCGCTCCCCCGAAACTATCTGAACTCGACGTCTGAATGATATTAGTGTCGTTGAAAGTAGAACCAACATCACTACCAGTAACTTCGTTGCGCACCGCATCCTTAAACGAATCCCCAGCTGTATCACTGGCCCCTTGACGACTTGAATCCAGCGAAGCATCAGATGTAGAGTTCTCGAAAACTGGTAGTGGTGTCGATGTGGGCGGGTCAGTTGCTGTTGTGGGGGTTTCAGCTGGAGTGCCCCCACCGGAAGATGTTAGCTCTGTAGCTGAGTCAGTGGCTGGGTTGTCCGTATCGACTACTACCGTTTGTAAAGTGGGTTCTGGCGCTCTTGACGTAGGGGTTGTTGGTGTTTCGTTCGTTCTCGGGGTATCAGGAATTGCAAGAGGAGGCTCCGTCACAGTGATAACGATCGGGAAGTCAGACGTAGGAGACACCGTCACGTCCGTAGGTGATGACGTTGGAGAATTTGTGCCGGGAGGGGATGATGTAGTCAAATCACCAATGGCTAGACGAAATGTCGGCTCAGGTGTTCTGGGTGCAGAGCTTTCGGGTGCATTCGAAGCACTATTTGGACTGTTGGAACCAGTGGGGGTCGAACTCGGCGATGCCGGTGAATTGCCATCTGTCGGTGTCACTGGAGGGGGAGTCACTGGGCTACTCGTACCGCCTGTGGCCCAGTTAAATGTGGCTGCGGGCGTTTGCACGGGAGGAGTAACTGGAGCATCAGTCGAAGTGCCGGTGGTGCTCGATGCACCTGGGTCGGAAGCTGGGGCATCCGTGACTTGTGGATCTGGTGTCGATGTCGCTGGACTAGCTGTACGGCCAGTCTCTAATCGAAACGTTGGAGCTGGAGCAGTAGGTGGCGGTGTTAAGCCACTTGGTGGTGAAGTACTGGCCCCATCAGTAGGTGAAGACACCGTATCGGGTGCAGGGGAAGATACATCGACGGGTGGAGGCACCGAACCTTCAGGCGAATTAACCGTGACCGGCGAAGGAGGAGGGGCGTTCGTGGTAGGCGTTGTCGCTGGGCTATCAGTACCACCAGTCTCCAGACGAAACGTTGGTGTTGAAGCAGTAGGTGGAGGTGTTGAAATATCATTGCTGTTCGGTGGCGAGGAGCTGACCGTAGGCGTAGATATTGGATCCGGCAATGTTGTTGTTACATCCGTGGATGGCACATTGACAGAGTCGGCTGGCGGTGGTGAGGTTACATCGGTCGGTGGTGGCACAGGAACTTCAGATGACGCCGGATCGGCTGGAAGTGACGCAGGAACATCCGCTGAGGTTGCTGTCGTGGTGGTGGCAGTATCACTTGTCGTCGTACGAAACGTTGCGGCTGGAGCGGTTGGAGGTGGTGTACCATCACTGTTGCTTGGTATCGACGAGCTCGCCCCATCGGTAGGTGTAGACACTGTGTCGGACGGAGGAGTTGAGTCGGTGGATGTCGCGTTAGGGTCTGAGTCAGGTGAATAGACTGTGACTGAATCAGGAGGAGGCGTAGCTGGATCGGAGAGTGGCGAATCTGTCACTGCAGGCGAATCAACTGTGATCGAATCGGGCGGAGGTGGTAGAACGTCTATGGACGGCGTTGTCTCTGCACCAGTCGCTAGACGGAACGTGGGGGTTGGCGCAGTAGGTGGCGGTGTGGAGGAGATGATTCCATCAGTTGACGTAGATATCGAATCCGACGATGGTGTAGCCGCGCCCTCAGGTAGCGTAGGATTCCCAGGCGAATCGACTGAATCGAGAGTCGGTGGTGTTGATTCGTCGCTATTGCTGGGTGGCAAAGAGCTACTGGCTGTGGAGCCGCTGGTGTCACCGATTTCGGTCGAGATAGGGGGGCTCTCCGTCCCAATCAAGGAAGTCTCAGCTGGTGCCGATCCCGACTGGGCTGACACGATCCCGATCACCAAGAAAGCAGTGAAGAACAAATGCGTCATGCTGGAAACCTGGTAAGATCGAAAATACCTCCAGTTCATGGGTTTCTTCTACGCTGTTGTAGAAATTGGCCACACAATCGAGATGAACAGCCACTTTCGGTCATGTCCGTTGAGCGGTGCATCGTATCCATACTGGACTTGTGGTGAGTCAAAGCGTCGGTGGGTCTCGATGGTTCAACGGAGACTTTCAATACAGATCTTCCATCTCGGCATTGTCAGTGCCACATTGGAGTTTTCTTTCCTTTCAGCCTTAAAAAATGTCTAGCCTACTGCCACTGTTTTATTTTCTAGAGTTGCCAGAATCTGTAATTTCGTTTTGTAGAAACACAACGAACTCGTTGTTTTCGTGTGCTTTCCACGAAAATCTTCTTAAGAATTAGCAATTTTAGTACTTAACTTGAGAAGTTGCAAGTATTAAAAATGTTACTTAACATGTTACCTTATATCTTTTATCGAGGAGACGTCTATGTGGTGGCCTCATGTAGTTGCACAAACAGTGATCATGAGAATGGCGAAGGCAGAAGCGAAACAGCCAGCTACACGAGTGCCTGCGTTGTCGTCGGATCCACTTGATTTACCGTTACCCTCGCTTCCGATTGCAGTGGATGCTCCGCCTGAGGATGAACTGAGGTCATTGCTTTCGCCGTTGCTAATACTTTGCACCTTGTCCAAGCTACTCGAACTCGAGTTTAAAACAATCTCGTTGTGGGAGCCGGCACCATTCTCCACATTGCTGCTGCCGGTATTTATGATTTTTGAGCTACCGATCACATCCCTAAAAGTGCCCTCGGAAGTGCCGGAGACTCTCGGAGTCGCTGTTGTCTTTGATGTAGATCCAGTAGACGCTGGCGGGTCGAGTGCGTTGTCCTGACTAGATCCACCTGACGCCATGACCGAGTTTCCGCTCGGTCTAGAGGGTGCTGCCTGCCCCATTAAAGTATTACCGTCGGTCATGGTCGAGACAGTAATTGTATTTGAAGACGTGCCGGTCGCTGCGGTATTAAGCGCGCCACCGCTTGCCGTTCGATCCGGCTGAGGTGGTGGTGGAGGAGTCGCTGGGATATCCGTCTTACGGATCACTACCGCTTGAAAGGTATCTGGAGTACCAGTCTGGGTTTCCGAGGCATCGATGGTAACGTTATGGGAAGCCCTGGTGTGCTTCTGCTGGATGTAATAGATACCTCGGTACCGACGGGCGGCATGGGCTCAGTCGTCGAATTCGTAGTCTCTAAAGGGTTCGCGCTTCCCCACAAAATAATTTCGATTAGGAAGGCGATCACAAATGTCAAGACGACTTTCTTGACCTGGCACTTCATCTCGACGCAGAAAACTGAGAAATAACACCTGCCAGCCCGGGCCGGGCAGCGCGCCGGGCAGGCTTACAAACTGGATGCAGCCCAGCAGTTGATGGTTGTCTGGCAAAGTAGCACCGCGTGGTACATATCACAAAACGGAACCTTTTCTGCGGAAGTTCAATCCTACCAGATGACGTGTCGATGTTGTTCGGCTCATCACGTACTTTGGCATTGCCAAATTGGCAACACCAGGCTCGCCCTGCGTGGGCATTAGAGTTCACTACCACCCAATGGTTGGATGAGTTGTCGATTAGCACCAATTCCGTGCAAGAAGGTCCTCGCACAGTGAGCGAGGACCTTTTTGCTTGAGCGGCTCACCCCTCCCTTAGGGTCTTATTGGAGGTACATGTAGTTTAAAAAAGATTCAAAAATACTAGTGCTAATAACTCCCTTTTTAAATAAAAAAAAAAATATTGACTATTTTCTCTTTTTTTTTTACCAAGTGATCTTCAAGCGTAAAAAAACTGGTAAGAACAAACATTATTGAGGTCTACAGTAATACTACATGTAGTAGACAGCACAACTGCAGCAAAAACACGTCCGATGCATTGTTCAGGTTCAAATAGCTCCCAGTTGCGCTTACGGCATTGGGGTGTTGAGCAGGCCGTTGGCGACCGACTGGGCCTTTTCGTGTCCACAGAGTAGCTCCACGAGCTTAACGCCCATGGCCATTGCAGTACCCGGTCCCTGACTGGTCACACACTTGCCATTTACTACGACGTTCTGAAGCTTAAAGTCCACACCAGTCATCTTGGACTCGAAACTCGGGTAGCTCGTAGCCGCACCAGGGGGCAGGAGGCCGTGCGTGTGCAGCACGACAGCCGGAGCTGCGCAGATGGCGCCGTACAGTTTTCCGTCTTCCTTTTGCTTCTGTAACAGCGCCACCACCTCATTCGAGTCGCGCAGATGCTCGGCACCAGGCATTCCCTACATGATAGTTAATATACATAATTAATAATAAAATATTCGTAAAATGCAAATTGCATCGACGCACTCCAGGGATCACAATTAGATCGAAGCTTTTGCCAGCGCAGGTCTCGATAGCCACGTCACCCTGCACCTTGACACCGCGCGACATAGTAACAATTTTGTCTGGCTTATTGCCGACAGTAGCCAGCGTAACCTGGACGCCGCCGCGCGTGAGCACATCTGCAAGAGTGATGGCTTCGATCTCTTCCGCTCTTAATTAGTAACGTGGAGAACTGGTAGCATTGTGTTGCTGGGCGTACGATCGGAATCAAAGCAGTTGTCATTCTAGTGGAGAGGTTGCGGATGCTCGTGCGTGGATGGAGTTGCTGCGCGAGGCGAGTAAGTCGTCGCATAAGCAAGCTCGGAAAATGATTACAAAGATACATTTGGTGATTTTAGCCAATTAGAATACAGTACTGAAATGATAGAATAATATCTGTGACGTGTGAGAATTTACAGAAACGATCAATGAGTTGATATTGATGGTCTCAAGTGAAGATCAAGACAATCTTACGTGCTTGACTCGCCTTACAGCAAGCCTTGACGAGCCAGATCCTCGTACGTCTTTCTATTGAGCACGTTGCCTTCCGAGTCTTCGAACTCTTCTTCATTCGACGCATTCCAACTCTCCATATCAATCTGGCCCTTCAACTTCTCATACACTTAATACAAAACACACACACAGAAAGTCAGTCAAGAAGAAGAAAACAACCAATCAAAGAGCAATCCTTACGCTGGATGGCGTCTCGCATGAGTGTGATATCGTGGAAATGCTTCGTGTTGGGGATCTTGAGACAGCGCATCCCAAAGGCATGACGCCATTCCTGGAAGTGGCGATCGAATGCACGTCGTCCCCAGTAGCTGTGGTTCCCGCAGATCTCGCACTTGTACTCGACTCCAAGCCCGTGAAGCTTGTACAGCCAGTACGGAATGGGCTTTCCGTCCCACCCTAGAGGCAAGTTCAGTGGGTTGTACAGTTGTTCTTCTTCGTCTTCAGCCTCATCGTTCTCGTTCTCCACGTCCACGTCGGAGAAGGCTCCTTCCTCTTCTTCTTCGATCTCCGCCTGTAGCTCCTCGTGGGTACGTGTCTGCTTGAGCTCCAAGTACGAGATTGTTCCCTGCACAACTTCAGTAAGAAGCTCATACATCCGACGGATCAACACTTCGTCGAATGCAATGGTCTTTTGCTTCTCTTCCAGCTCCTTCTTGCTGTCTTTGCTTGCAATAGAGCTCGCGCCATTACTGTCAGCCCCGTCGACTGCCTTCGCTGCTGCCTTCTTGTGTTTCTTTCCAGTCAGATGGCTCTTGTACACGCCTTCCGAGCTGAATTGCTTGTCGCACAACTTGCAAAAATGCGCACGAGTTTTACTGTCGTCTGTAGCGTTCTCTGGGCTGAAAGCCCACCCAGGAACTTCACGCAGAGCCCACTTCTTCTCGAACTTAACAGAAGTTTCATCGATCACATCGTCGAGATCCACAAGAGGCTGTGTGCGACGATAGAAGTCCAAAAGATACTCCTTCAAGTCCTTCAGATACTGCTGGTACCGTGTGGACGGGGTCTTCTGAGCTGCTGGGATGGCTGAGAAGTCCGAGAACGACGCTAGATACGCCAGATAGTCAATAGAGGAACTAGCAGGCTTCCTTCCTCTGGTCTTGACACTGGAGCTCAGTGCTTCTTGGATTTTACGGACTTGCCTACGTAAAACAGTACTCAGTACTTTTATTTAGCTGCAAACGGTATGTACCGGTATTCTCCACTCACCATTTCAACTCGGGGATGTTGAGGAAGCGCGTATAGAACTCGTTCAGGTCCACATACTTACCGAAGCGCTCTTCGCCCGAGAATTGGATGTTCGGGTGCAGCGCCTCGTCTAAGTTGGGCTCGTGAGAGACGACTGTGTTCGGGTACTTGCGATGGAACGAGCGGATGGACTTGAGCTGCTCGTAGAACGACGTAAACACGGCCTTCCCACGCATATTCTCGGTCTCCTCGGCGAAAATACTAAACAGAACAGTGCCAGATTCAGTAACAAGGCAGGTATCGCTTAATAATCCATTTTAACACACCCATCTTCGTCCTCGTAGAGCTCTTTGACGTGCTTACTGTGCTGCGTCACTTCGTCCAGTAAGTTGCTCACCTTGTGGCCATGTAGAACGCGGCTGCGATGCTGCAGTCATCGCAATAATCGCGTCAACAGGATAAAATAACTGTAAGATTCCAAGCTAATACAGTTGATTGCCTACTGAAGCCGCTAGAAGGACGTACGTTGCGCGGTTTGTCGCCTAGCGTGGCCACAATAGCACGCTCTAACGCCTCTATCTCCTCCTGTTCTGCACGCAGCTGCTCCAGCACTGTAGACGACATACTCGCGGGCTCTCGGCGACGATCAAGTAATTGGTGCGGTGTCTTTTGTAATTTCGGAATTAAGCAAATTAGTTGGAACAACATGGCTACACTTTTGGCTTTTTAGCAGTGGACACCGACATAAACTTTTAAGTACTAGCGATAAGAAGCTTCCTATTCCTAATGATCTCTGTGTACGTACGTGCAAGTCCATCAGTCGCTATCGCTGTCCAGTAAGCAGATAATCTCCGTTTCGTTCGGCATGGTGGTGGGTTTTGGAGGAGGTCGTGCTTGACGTCGTTGCCGCTGGTCGAACGGGTTGTTCACGTTGTGATTCCGAGACAGTGAAGCCATTGAGCTGGCCAGGTTGGACTCTGCCTGGTTCAGCAAATCTCGTGGGGGCGAGACAGCTATCGACGTCGAAGCTACATAAGAAGAAAGATCCATACTGTTAATACGGGTCCGGAATGCTTCCCAAGAGAGCGACGTACCTGTGTTGGTCGTTGACGGGAAGAGATTTTCATCCAGCGGGAACGGGAAATACTCGCCGCAATCGCCGTCGCTTGTTGTGTTGGTCGTGGTAGCTGCAGCGACTGACGTGGCAGGAGTATCCCACGCATCGCTGCTCACTGTCAATATATCGATGTCGTCATCCAGTAGAATCGGAGCAGATGCACTTGCAGCAGCGGTGATCGCAGGGTTCGCAGCAGTAGCTGGTGCTGTGTCGTCTTCATCATCGCTCGACAATAAATCGATCTCAACGGGTGCAGTGGCACTTGATCCTGGCGGTCCATCGTTACCCGGTGCTGTGTTGGTTGAAGCTCCCGCAGCCTCCGTCTGTTCTGCTTTCACCTTCTTTGCCGGTGGCTCCGCCACAGCCTCCTCCTTCAGTCTCCGTTTCCATGACCCATCCGGGAAGATCTCCACTTCTTCCAGATCATCTTCGCCTTCGACTTCTGCAAGAAGCTTCTTTAAATAAGGATCGATCCGCAAATCCGTAGCCTTGATAAACTACAGGAACAATCACACGCATTAGAGGTACACTAACGCACCGACAGAGCAGAGAAATACTTACTTGATAGCACACTGTACACCGCCACGCCTTTGATCGCGCTTTCTTGCTGAATATCATAAACGTTTTCAGATCGAAACACTGCAGATGTTTGCAGTGGATTCCTCGCGCCGGCAGATTAATCACGCACAGTCCCAACGGACAGCGCACGGACAGCATCGTGACGGTGGCCACGACATCGTCTTCGTCTTCACTGCCAAACGACTTGATGACTTCTTGCTTGGCGCCTTCGTACGTCAAGTTCTTCGACGCGTCTTTAACCTCGTTCACGAGATCATTAATGTTGCGTACCTCCACGATCTGTACCATGAACCCGAACAGCGTCGGGTTCGCCGTAGTGCGGACGTCCACCACGTTGCGTCCTACTCGTGAGTACTGGAAGATATTAGCTGGTAGCTCTCGCAGCACTTTAGACGGGTTACTGTGTCCAGGAGGAGCCCGCTGTGTGATTGGCACACCGAAGCCATTGACACTCAGCTGCGTCGAAGCCGGCCAGCAATGTCCTGCTGCGAGGTCTTCTTTTACTGCAAAGCACCGTAATTGCAGCTCCAAAGCTCCTGGCGTCATCGATCCAGGCTTCGGATCTCGGTTAGCATACATGTTGTTAAGGTCATTGTCCGTGATGTAATATTCCAGTCGGAAAGAGCTGGCAGGCTTCGAGAACCGCACAAAATTAGGGTCCAGAACGGTCTTCTGCACTCGAAAGAATGGATCATATGTTTTGGCTCGACACATTTCGCAATGCCACTCGCCACTCAGCTGTCAAATAACAAGTTAGTGTAGCTCTTTATTAAGTGTAACAGGGATGCAGAATGACCCACCGGTAGCAGATGATGGCACTTGGCATGCACTGCCAAGCCACAATCCACACACTTGACCACTTTGCCTGACACGCCTTGCGTCACGCAGAAGCATCTCGCGCCGTTTAAAGACGTAGCCTGCGTAGGGGTATACAGATCTACGCCACTAGTCAACGGGGTTACACCAATGCCTTGTGGAGCGACATTCACCGCTCCATACGATACCGGAGCACGAGGCGCGGGGTTGCGGCCGTATATGGGGGCGGGGATCGAGCGCGATGGAGGTGTCGTGGGCGGAACCGGCCCGTAACGTCCCGGTATTTGCGACGACATGCTGCCGGTGTGGTAGCCGCCCTGCACCCCTTGCGGTGCCTGCGTGTAGGCTGCTCTATCTCTCGTCTGTTGCTCGATACTGCGCATACCAGCCGCAAGCCGCTCGGCGTAGAAAGCAGCGGACGTGGTGCCTCGTGCCTTGTCGGCGAAGGACTATTTGCGCACAGAATTACAAGGTGAGCGACGGGATAAGGGACTTTTCTAGTGAGAATTAGAGCGCACGGACCTCCAATTCGATGGAGATACGCTCCACGAGCTCCGACTTGCGCCCAGAACGCGGCAGGTTGAGGTCCATTAGAATGTTGCGAAGCTCCGGCATGCGCAACTGGTTCAAACGTGCGCGGAGGTCGCGCAGTTGGGCAGATGAGGCGCTCATGGTGGCCTGTGTCTCGGTGGAGAAGGGTCCCGACCGACGCGTGCGTTGCCCTAAAAGCTTCTTCTCGCGCGCCCTTCACTCGGTCTCTCTGTGCTTCGCCAGCATGGCCTGCTTGGCGCCCTGTGGGTTGCGGCGCAGTTTGTAATTTGACACGAGAATCAATGTGCTGCAACAGAAAGTTGATGCGAAGAATTGTAAGGACTTACGAAAACGATGTGTAAGAAATGAAGAAATTGCACTGTCTTTGGGCGAAAACAAGGGCATAAAAGTAATTTTGTAAAACATGAGGTCACATTGTGTGATTTTAAAATTTTAACTGTCTACTAAAATAATTACGGGAAACAAAGTGAGTCATTTTGAATAGAGAACGTGTTGTGAAGAGTAAGCAATCGATCTCCAAGCTACCTGTTTTGCTTAGGTTTTAAATCGATTGGGGTACAGTAATTACAGTAGTCTAAATTGTAGACTCTAATGGCCGCCACGTCTGGCGGATCGCTGACGGATAGCAAGCGGAGCAAACCAGCGGTGAGCCTTGATCTCCTGCAGCGAGAGACGCCTCTCCGGTAGCTTCTGCAGGATCTGTTCATAGTACAAGAAACATGTCAGAAAACGTGTACATGTTTTATTTCTAAAGTCCAGACATCGTACCCGCGTGATCAAATCCTTCGCTGCCAGTGACACCATGGGAGGGACACGAAGTTGGCCTTCGGTAATGAGCTCGATGGTCTCGTTTTGTCCCTATTTAACGAACCACAATAATAAGCATTTCAAAGTGGGGCCATGAAGGGAAAGACGCACGTACTGGCGCTTCGAACGGAGGCTTGCCCACCAGCAGCTCGTACATAATGATTCCGACAGCCCAAATGTCGACCGATTCGTCGTATTTCTCGCCCTAGACTCGACCACGTTAGCTGGATGGTAAGCACAGTACGTTGCCAAGTAGAACGTACCCGAATCATCTCAGGCGACAGGTAATCCAAGGTGCCACATAGAGTATCGCGGCGATTACTACATAAATACAAATTAGTTATTATAAGTCACGCATTATAACGAGGCACGACACCACGTACGCCGCCGTCACGTTAGCAGAAGACCAACCGAAATCGCCAAGCTGGATTGTACCCTAAGACATCGCAGCTAAAGTCAGTAACATGGCGTTAACTACCCAATTTAATCATACCTCCTGAGATAGAAGAAGGTTCTCAGGTTTGATATCGCGGTGGATCACGTGTTGTTGATGGCACGCCTCCAACGCACTAGAGCAACAAAAAAAAGATTTGAGTTACGAATCGCTTCATCCTCTCAGTAATCATCTCTTACCTGACAAGCTGGGCGGTGTACAGCATTGCTTGGCGTTCAGGAAACCTATTGACGGCATTGTTAGTTCCATACACGACAAGAAACCAAGGAACCTGATGTGAGCGTACCGTCGTCCGGGCATAGAACGCATTTTCTTGTAGAGGTCACCACCTCCAGCATATTTCATTACCAAGTAAACTGAAGAAAGCAAAACAATTGATATGTTAGGACATGGACGAGAAGAGAAGCACAAGGATCCTCCATCTCACCTCGTGTGGCGTCTTGAAAAGTGGCAAACAGGGGCAGGATATTTTCGTGTCGAATACGGGAGTGAATCTCCACTTCCTTTCGCAATTGGTGAGATACACCCGCAGCCTTAAGTTGCTCCTTCACTAGCACTTTCAGGGCCACATACATTCGCGAGCTTTTCTCACGCGCAAGGTACACTTGACCGAACTTTCCCGTTCCCAGTTCACGACCAATCTCGAAATCGCTCAAACTCCACGCTTTAGGCGGTTGGCTTGGGTGCTCCTGTTCCTGTTCCCGTTGTTGTTCGGTTTGTTGATCCTCGTAGTCCATCATCTCCGCTGGGGCTGCTGGTGGGGTAGTTTGTTCCGTAGTATACTGTCGTGGCGGTGGTGGGGTTGGTGCGTTGCTTTGTGTCCGCGTAGTACCGAAACGAGGTTGAGGGCTCGAGCCGGTTTGGAATCTGCTAGATGCACCAGCGCCAGTGTATGGAGGTCTAGCTGACGTTGGTCTTGCGGTAGAACTCGATGTAGCTGTCCGTAACCTGCTTGTACCGCCGCCATACATCGCTTTAGTTGGTGCTGACGGAATTCGCGACGCTTGATGCCTTCCAGTAGCGCTGCTAGCTGTTGGACGTGCATACGACGGCACGGATCCAGTCGACGCAGGTGAGACTGTTCGATGCGCTAACGATGACGCTGTTGGTGCCATTAAGCGACCTGTGTGTACACAAAATTATTCATTAGAGCTAACTATCGAGACCGTTGCTACCGCGGCTAACGTACTCGTGGCCGTCGATCTGTAGCTGGCAGTGGAACGTTCACGTAGTGCCTGGCGGTTGTGGCCAAACGACGCTGTCGAGGATGCAGACGAAGGAGACGCCCGCTGGAGTCGCCCCGAGGCGACAGGAGGCGCTGAAGACGCGTCCTTCATGTCGATATCCGCAGAATCAGGCGAAGGTTCATACCGACCGAAGTTGGGGCGGCGATTCTCGTCGGACCTCATGCCACTGCGAGGTAGGTGTAACTCCACCAAATAAGTTGGAGCCGCCACCAAAATAAATGGAGAATGCACACGAATGGTGGACAGCTATCACTCACAAAATAAAAGTGGAGTGTCCACACATTTAGGAAGCAGTAACACTTAGCACAAAGCTAATAAACACTCCATGTCAGTGCTTTTGTTCGAATCGTTAGCATAGGTGAAGTGATTCGAGCACTAAGTTGTAGCGATCATGTTGTAGTTGCAGCAACAACAAGTCGCTGTCAACGACGCCTCACTTTCCCTTGTAGCGTGCCATGGCACTACATTTCGGCTGGAATCCGAGCAGAGACCACACTCTACGAGGTTGTGGCTGGGACGGTGGAGTCCACGTGCCCCTTTGCCATTAAGTTAGCTTTCCAGTGTCACTCTCCAACTTGAGCCCAAGAGCTCCAGCACCACACTCCGTCCAGAGCAGCGGCACCCAAGACCGACCACCAACGCAGCTCCAAGAAAAGCACAAGTACGTTCATTGATGTTATAAAATGAACGTTTCTAGCATGTTGATTCTGCGTTCATCTACCATGTTTGCTGGTGCAGTGCAATGAGCTCGACATGAAGAAGTGCGTGATTGGGTCGCGCTCGTAGTCAAAGTACTGGCACTTTGGGAGTCGTCGCCATCATCTCCGTCTGGATCGTACTTGCCAACTACTTCGTTGTCGAGGGTGCCAAGGCCATAAACGTGCACAGTATGCACGCATCGGCCATCCACGCCCACAGCCTGGATCCTGCAGCTCATTGGTCACGGCGTCTTCGATCGTCGCAAACCGGCACTCTTCGACAGCCTGGACCAGGCTCTGATCACCGCTCCGATGTTCGTGTAGTTCGAGATTTTGTTCCCACTCGGTTACCGTCCGGAACTCTACACGCGCGTGATGAAGCAGGTCTGGATCAAAGCAAGACCTTCCAGGCTACAAAGACGCTGTAGTTGAGGCCACAAGACAGTGACTTTTGTGGCCTCATCAAAAAGAAAAATAAATTGTTTTCGATATATCTATGCGAATTTTGTTGTTAGGAGGCTACGACGATCTCTGCCATCTCTATGAGACTTTTGGCAATACCCTCCGCCCCACTGACGAGACAGTTGAGAAGTAAGAACTCCTCCATCGACACCTTCTCGTAGCAACGTTCTTCCAGCAGTCATTCCACGTACGCAGTCTTCATCTGCGCCGCGATGTCGCTACCGAAGAATTCCTCCACATTTAGAACGTCGTGCTCGCGACACATGGCAGGAGCCGATGACGCAGCCGCCGAGACTCTCTTGTTCTTCTCAACGGACGAAGCTTGGGACGAGTTGTGTTAGCTCTCACGTGACGGCATCGCGGCTCGCGAATTGTTGACATTCGCTTCCTGCACACCCAAAGGTGGAAGTTTGGACTGAATCTTGTCGCCAGAGTCCACGTCAACGACCTTCGACTCGTCGTTCTCGCTCGCATCTCCCGCATCGTCCTCGTTCGCATTGATAGCTGCCAGCCCATGCTCCGGTCTGGCTACCAGAGCCGAGGCCTTGGGTCTACATGGCGTGTACACCTCCACCTCGATCTTGAGGCCGTTCTCCAGCGCCTCGACGAACTCTTCGAACGACACCAAGCCGCTGTTATCTTTGTTCACCACACGCATGAATTCCTCGACGTATTTGTGGATCTCGCCTTGCTTGGCCGCGCCAGACTGGGCGAAGATGGTCTCCAGCATGTCTGCCACTTCGTCCGCGTCGATCTCGCCGCTACAGTCCTTGTCTGCCAAGCGGAAGGCCTATTTCATCTGCATGAAGATTGCGGTCTGGTCCGGCTCCGAGTACAGCTAATGCATCGCGAAAGAGCATCTCTCCAACGTCTTGAACGAATCGGTCACTACAGTCTGGAATTGGCTCTACCACTTTGCACTTGTGCTCGTTGCTGTCAAGTGAAGCTTCAGTGTCTCAAATGTCGACACTGTTAAGCTGAACTCGGTCGTGTTCGACGCGGAAATTGAACCACCGCACCACCTTAAATAGTAGCGTGTTGTTGTTCAGTAGTCGACGTAAACACTCGAGACCTTTTTCACATTTCAGAGTCGAAAACGCAGGTCTCCACATGAGCGGTTCGGCTTGAGCCTCCGCCACTGAGGACGCTTGTTGCGCATGTTTAACGGGATCTTGGCCTGCTTCATCTAAAAGATCGTCGTTCTCACTCTCCATTTTGTTTGTCTCCACGTAATTTTACATGAGCGACAGTGCGACGAGCGTGTATATCTATCTATTTCTGTATCTTCAACACTTCAATACTTTGGCACTGATTGTGCTATTGTGGTGGTCGTATATTTTAAGGTGGTGGTGGTGACCCGTTTTCTGTGTGTGTGGTCCCGTCCACATTTTGGGTGGATCTACACTTTTTTATAATAGCAGTACATATAATTTAAAGTGGTAATAACCCGGACTCTGCCACTGCTCATTACAAATTGTCGTTTGTCTTGCTGTTATTTGAATGTTGTTTTAGAAAAATGCAAGTAAAAATAAGTTGGCAAAGAAAAAGGTTTCCTGGTTTTAGGAATTAATTTGGAAGTTCGTAGAATTGTGAATGTTTTTATTTACAATTGTTTTCTTAAAGAAACAGATTTTTCGAAAGCATTTTCCGCACGACCACTTAGTTTCGTTTTGCCAATGTAGCCAGCTTCTGAAAGGCGAGTTGAAGGTTTGAAATGTAGTCGATGAGTACCGGACTATCATAGAACAAGTGGCAGAACTGCGAGTCATAATTGCATGAGCTAGAGCATTGGAAAAGTAATTTATTGCAAAACTGACCTCCTTGAAGCTAGAGCTCTTCATGGCGATTTTCTCCACCTCAATCATGGGCGGAATGCTGAATCTACAAGTGGGACATGTGTTAGAACTGCGTTGCTATGCGGCGTGAGGGAACATACGCGTTCTGTTGGGCTACAACTCGAAGTCTGGCGATAATGTTGGTGGTGCTGCAAGGGACCTCTGCCATTAATACAATTGTCAAGCTCAATACCGAAGCAAAAGGCTCCACCTCTCGGATCGATCTCCACTACTGTCTTTGGTTGCCGCATTTTCGTTGTAGATATCGTGCGCCTTGTTCAAAAACTCTACCAGCATTTTCAAATTGTGAGGCATCAGAAATTGCCAAGCCAGAAGATTGCACGCATCTTTACCATTGAAAAAGAAGCATGCACTGAAAGCTGTTAATAACGTTCGCAGCGATGCTCGTCGCTGGCCATCTTCGTTTTCAGGCAGGTGGCCGGTCGCTTGCCGTACTAATTGTGTTGGCAAGTCGCTGCACTGACAATGAAGCATTTCTGTGAAGTCTCCAACCGACAGCACTACAGTAGCCATCGCAACCAAAAGATGGTTACAAATACACCACTTCAGCAGTCAGACTGACCAAAGTACCGATATCATTACATGCAAATAGCAGCACTTACTCATATCGTGGTCGATCTTTACGTAGCTGCGCTGCAATTGAGCAATGAAGGCCGCACGGTTTTGCAGACAGCCGTTAACGTACTCGAACGACCGGTTTTTGACATTGGATCCTTTGGCAACTGCGGCAAAATAATTGGCGATGAATTGTGCCGGCTGATCCGGGCGCTTGTCCTGTAACTGGCGTACCAGGTCGTCTACGTAGAACTGTACGCCTGACTGTTGCAGATAGAAATCATTGGACGATGCAGTGTTGCGCGACGGTAACCGCGCCAGCGTACGCAGCTTGGATCCGCTCGGGACGGTCGCAGTTGCGTTCTCACGGACGCTGTCAGTGGCAGGAGCGCGATAGGCGTTGGCGATGAGGTTCTCTGCCTCCAAGCGACTCATGCTTTCAGTGTTCATTGCTGCGAGCTTCAACAAGAATAATCAATTTAAAGATCTGTTTTTTTTTTCATTGTTTTAATTTTGAAAAAGAGCTTTTCCAAAGAAGCGCCAGTTTAAAATAAAAATAAAACACTTTTAAAAAAGTACTTCTCCAAAAATGTACCGAAAAAGCGCTAAAAAAGGCCAGTCGCGACATAGACACAACTTGCTTGTCAAAAAAGTCAACTTTTCTAGCTACTGTATCGGTTTGCGCAGGTTTGTGGGTATCACCGTCGAGAGGCTGTGCGTCACGACTCTCTCTTATGGGCGTGGACGCGGAGGCGCTGGCTCAGCTAGCAGCCACAGGACTTGCAGGAATATTTGCAGGTGCGTCGATGTACATCAGTGTGGCGCAGCACCCGGCGCTCATGGAGACGGACGCGCTAGCATTCCAGGCTCCTTTCTTCCGACGAATGTACTTCTACGCAGCGCGAATGCAGGGACCTGTAGCTGTAGGCAGTGGCCTCAGTGCGCTACTTGTAGCTTGGCTGCAGAAGCAGCGTGGACCACACGCAGGCATGCCGCGGCTCTGGCTTATTAGCGGATGTCTTATCGGTGGAGTCGTACCCTTCACTATGCTCAAGATGCTGGCGCTAAACGACAAACTCGTGGACTCGAAGCGTTGCGTGCACCGTGGCCAGACATGGATGCAAGAGATGTTGCGGCGATGGGGGAAACTCCACGCAGTGCGTGCAGGAGCGAGTGTACTGGCATTCTCCGGGATGTTGATAGCGATGGCTTGCGGCGGCGACAGGACACCGGCCCTCAAGTCATAGAGACAGCAGGTGTTCACAGGCTGATAGACAGGAAATATTTTATTGGCTACGGTAGTTGTAGATAACCGGAGCTTCGGTCACTTGGACTAAATAAATTGACCACATTTGACAATGTAAGAGTTGAAGAGGCTGAGTAGCTGCTCACACGTCGCAGATTTTAAAAAGCTTGAAGGCAAACTTCGGGAAGGGACAAGACTGTGTTGGGACTCGGAACTTCTTTCCTCGACGCACTTTCCCGGACACAAAGAGCTATAATAAAGAGCAGACTCATAGTTGAAAAAGCCACCCAAGACACCGAACCAAAGAGAAGTACACCCGCCACGCATTCCGGCTCGTTGAGCTTCCAACTCGACTCGTAGGAAACACTTGAGCTCTGTTCATGGTAAGACTTACCATGCTAACGTCCAGCATATATCTCCCGGTTGCCATCTTGATCCAATACTGACTTTTCTCGTCCTTCCTTTAGACGATTTTGGACGAGCTCCGGTATTTGCGAGATCTCTTCTTAAAGAACGCTCGTCGCTTGGTGCACCTCCTGTCAACGAGAGCTCACAAAGCTCGCGCCGATATCACCAATCTACTACAGAAGTACTACACTCTCCTGTTCGCTGACGCACCGACAAGAGTGCACCACGCTATGGTCGACTTTAATCGGTGGCTTGCTGAAGTGCTCGATGACACGCGCTCCGAAGGTATCGAGTGGGGGCCATCGTACGGCGAGAGCCCGTGGCTGGCTCTAGAAGAGCCACAACCTCAAGATGGACCGTACATTGAAGCCTTCTCTACCGACGACGACAGCACCTTCCGGCTCCTACGAACAGCCTGCGAGTACTATATGACTCGTTGTAAAGGTCTCCAACAGACCAACGCTGATCTGACCACGCAGCTCGATGAAGCGCAAGTCAAGCTGAAAGAAGCGCTTGTCCGTGCGTTTGAGTTGCAGCAGACGTTGGAACGAGAACGGGAGGTTTCCATGCTGCACGCTGAGCGCATTGTGATGGGAGTGCAGATCGGCGACCACCTCTCGCGTCAGAACTCCCACGGTCAGTGTCCGACAAGTCTGCATCAGCAGATTACTGATGCCTTTCGAATGCTGAACGCGATTAGCGGTGGCTCTGTTGAGGGCACTGAAACAGAGTCGACTTTGGTGAGTGAAGAGGAAGTCGAAGAAAGCCACCCGAATGAGCCTGAAAGCGAAGCAGTACTACAGACAGCACACGTGGGTGCTGTGGCTCGTTCAGCTACGCTTGATGACTGTGACTACCGACAGCTTACAGAGCTACATGCGGGTGACGAAACGAGCGGTAGTTGGTACCAACACGCACTGCGCTCGCTCAAAGAAAAGCGTGAGCAACGTCGGGTCAACAGCAAAACTGAGTCAGCTATCGTGACCCCTTTAACTGCCATTGTAGACCTCAAGGAGACATCGTCTGATGATGTCAAAGAGTTCGTGCAGCTCGTTTCGATTCGCGACCCTGCTGAAGACGGTGAAGACTTGACGTGGTACCGTCGAGCTCTGCAACATCTCAAGGACGAACGCAGACGCCGTGTCAGTCTCCAAGACCGCGACTCCTTTACCTCCACCATTTCTATCGTCGACTAGCCGACAAAGCAAGTATCAAGCAAGACCCAAAAGAACGCAACCCCGGTCGACTTAAATCACTACATTTACGATACCAAACCAGATGTACTTTTCACGTAAAAGTTTTCCTGGTTATTCATGTGTAACAAGACGCATAACAAGACGCACATTTTTTTTCTTATTATGTTTAATCCCAAATAATCAATTCATGAAGACGTTTCTCGAGATCTTGGTTACGTTCGCCAAGTTGGACAATATCATCTCGTGCATTCCGTAAGAGATACAATGTATAGTCCTGTCTCTCGTGCATTTCTCGTTGTTCCTGTAAGAAATCCCGTTTGAGTGCTTCCATCATCTGTAACATTTTCACTTTAGTCGTGTCTTTCCACTCGTTATGTTCCAGTTGCATTTGATGCATTTGTTGCTGAAGTTGCAGCGCTCTATTGCGTTGTTTCTCGACTTCTTCCGCCAGCTTCTTCTCCTTGTCGGCAGTGGCTTCTAGCGCCACTTTTAGTCGCTGTTTGTCGTTGTCAGCTTCAAGTTGGAAGCGCTGACGCTCTTCGTCCAGCGCAGACTGTAAATACGCCGCTCGCTCCCGCTTCATCTTCTCGCGTTCATCGTCTTGAATGGCTCTACGTAACTTGTCGTCTTCTTCCAACAACGCGCTCTTCGCAGCCACCTCGGCCTCTTCCTCAACCAGTTTCTCTTCACAGAACTTGAGCTCCTCTTTCAGACGCGATAGCTCGTCACGGTCGGTGATTAACAGAGACTTGCGAGACTCGATCTGCTCCATTAAGTGCTGTTTCTCTCGCGGAGTCTCGGTTTTCATCTGCGTGAACGCTTGTACACCTTGCTGCAACTTACTCTTGTTCTCCACGTAACTTTGCTTCCGCACACGCATCTCCTTGGAGAGCTGCACTTTTTGCTGTCGTAAGACTTTAATCTTCTTCATAATGTCCATCTTCTCTTGTTTAACAGTCTGCATGAAGCCCAAGATCTTCTTCTCATTAGCAAGAGAGTTCTGTCTCTCCTGTTCGTATAGTTCCGTGAGTCGTTGCTTCTCTTCCCACGACTGTTGCTTCGCGCGTTCAAGGTTAGCGATAGTCTCCTCCATCTGCCCCATCATCTCCGGGTTGCCACTTGAAGCCGACGTAGGACGCGCCACCATTTGGCGTAACTTTTCGATTTCTTCTCGTAACTCTCGGATGATCTTTTCGTTGATATCTTCGTTCTTCTTGGTCGCGTTCTTAATAGACTTGGCTCGGTTGGCATACACTAAAGTGCCCAAACTCTCTTCAAAGTTATAATCTGCTGGCGAGATAGCTGCGATCATCACAGTGAGCGAGTTACCACCCAACGACTCTTGTAACAATCGCGTAAGTTTCGAATCTCGGTACGGAATATGTGCCTTGCCCTTGCGTGTTTTGTCACTAGATGCTAACATGTTAATCACATTGCCCAGTGCACTTAAACTCTTGTTAATCGCAGCTCCTTCCTTGAGTCTGTCACCCGTTGCTCCGGTCTTGGAGGCACGTTCCGAGCCTGCCAAGTCCACTAAATTGATCTTGGCGTTCATACACGTCTCCTTACGTACACCTGCCATCACTTGCGAGCGCTTGGACGAGATCTTGATAGTGAAACAACTATGAGAACGAGAACTGCGTTCGTTCATCTGAGTAGCAGCCACTTGCCGCACTTTGTTACCTTGTTCCAGTAGCCGTGTAACATCTGCTGGATCACGTACCACTAGCTCTGCTAATTGTTCCACATAGATGCCCATGTCGGGATGTTCTCTGATCTTGAGCACTTTATCCGATGGGTTAAGTAAATCTTTAATAACTTCGTTATAAATTTCCAGGAATGACACTGTCACGAGGTATTTTACCGCTCCTTCGTCGTCACTATTGGTGTTTTCTGCGTCACTAGCATTAATTCGCGCAAAGAGATCTCCGTTCATAAGCGGCACGATGCCGTGGTCGTCTCCACTCCCCATCATTGTGTGAGTTTTGCCAGATCCAGTCTGGCCGTACGCGAAAATTGTGCCATTGTAACCTTGAAGAGCTTGGTCGACTAATGGCTTGGCAATGTCTCCGTATACTTGGGCTTGTGTACTCTCTGTATAGTACGCGAAATCGAATGTATACTGCTTCTTTTCGGAAGCCTCCGAAGTCTCCGAAGCAGGTGAAGTTGAAGCGGACGCTTGAGCATCTGCAGTCGGGTACATTACCACAGTAGTACCGTCCAGCACTTGGACGACCCCGCGTGCTCCCATCTGCGTCTCGCGCGAACTCATGGGACGACATCTCACTGCCACCTTCACGTTCACGTCCGTTGACATGGCTACACTTTAATGATCTGAAAATTAAAACGTCGCGTCCTTAAGGTCCACCTGCAATTAAAAAATAACTTACGAACATAATTTAAAAAATTACGGCGTGGTCGTTTGATTCTTACCGAATTAAACTGCTACGAGTTGCTCAGAGATAAGCAGGGTATCTAATCGGACTTAGGCGTAACTTTGGAGTGTCCACCCTGGTCATTCTTTGACGCGCTAGAGTCCGTAGGTTTACGGCCAAACATGGCGCCGTTGAAGGGCAGAAACGGCGCGATCTTCTCGTGGAACTGCCACCTCAAGCGGTCCACAACTCCCTCCACCGAGTCCAGTGCTGGACGCACGTCCAAATAGACGGAAAGCGGCTTTCCTGGCGTCGCAGCGCCCGAGTAAAAGTCGATGACATAGCGCACTTCCTTACCGTCTCGGTCCACGACCCAGTCGTGACGGTCGAAGGGCAGTACGGACCAGCCTAACACGTTCATCATCTTGGCCTTGGGACTGTATTCAGTCGGCTTACCCATGAACTTTTTGAGCTTCACAGGCTCCTTCGATCTAGAATAAAACATAACGAATTAGTGACAATCTAACATTTCTAATAAGAAGGAACCTGCTAGACGCACGGGTGGAAGCTCTCCCACTTGAGCACTTCGCGCCAGCTCTGTTCGTTGACTGTGTTGTGAATGGCTACAATGGTCTTCATCTGCTGTGCCTTAGGTGCCCAGCCCTTACGCTTCATGGCCTTGAAATACATATCTTCGCTCGGATACTCCCATTTGTCCTCGGTTCCTGTCTGATGTTCAGGCGTAAACTCGCCCTTAGGGATAGAAGACACGGCGCGGTCTCTCGACAGGTTGATGAGAGCTGCTCCCGACCCGCGTACTGTGAAACCAGCGGCGTGATTGGCTGCGCGCATCATCTCGGCGCTGAGGCCGATATCTGCGTCATTGCCGCTGCCCGTCGTGTGATCCACAGGACAGCCTTGGGATATGTTGGCTACATCAGTCTTGCTGTGGTCTACAGGGCATCCTTGTGCCTTGGCAGGCGTCTTGTGAGGAGGATGCGGACAGGCCGCGGCTGCAGAGTTCACTTCTGCGGTCATTCTGGACGAATGATGACCGCAAGATAATGGATGAAATTGGGGTTTATAGCTTCGCTATAGGTTGCACACGCAAAAATTTACGTAAGAAAAACTCATAATTTACCATGTAGGTTGCAGCTTGGAAAAATATTTTATAGGTTCGGCTGTTAAAAATAAATGACTGATATAAAATGTAGCCATGTTATTTGTGTCTTATTGCTTGTCTGCTGTGGTCTTCTTGGGCTTCTTGTTCTTGTTGTGTTGCTGCTCCTGACGTTTCGTTTTGCGAGCGTGCACCTTGTCGTCAAAGCCTCGTTCCGTCAGCTTCATTTTGGCGATACGCGTCGCAGTGGTCACGTCATTGAGCAACTTCAGCACCTTCTTCTCAGGAGCGTCAGTCTCGTAGTCGTCCATCTTCTTCCCCACTTTATCCTCAATGTTCTGAAGCAACTCAATGTCATGCTGAGTCACCAGAGAGATGGCTTGGCCACTGCGTCCCGCACGGGCCGTACGACCCACGCGATGGATGTAGTCGTCGGCGTCGCGTGGCAGGTCAAAGTTGAGCACAACGTCCACCTCTGGGATATCCAGACCTCGACTCGCGACGTCCGTACTGATGAGGATATGACTCAGACCGCTCTTAAACTTACCCAGCGCAGCCAGACGTCGGTTTTGCGACAGCATTGAGTGCAGCGTCACACATTTAGTGCCCAATTCATTGCCGATCTCGCCCACCAACTCGCACATCTTGCAAGTGGCTACAAAGATCATCATGGAGCGCAATTGACGCTTAGACGAGGTGGCGGCTTCCAGCAGCTTCTCCAGCTCCTGATCCTTCTTGCCTTTGCGACTTTTTGTCACCTTCCGATTGCTCTCTTCCTCCTCTTCCTCATTCGGATCCAACATCTTCATCAAGTACATGAGGTACGTCATCTTGACTTGTGCTGGAATGAATAAATAAAACTGCTTCAGTGTGGCCACAGTCTTCACACTAGGCGTCGCATCGAAGCGGAACGCGTCGTCGGAGAGCGCAGTTTGTTCTAATCTGTCCAAATTCGCCGTCATTGTAGCAGAGAAGAGCAGCGTCTGTCGCTTGGTCGGCAGCTTGTCGAAGATGAAGCTCAGATCTTTAGCGAACGACACGTCTAGCAGTCGATCAGCCTCGTCCAGAACCACATATTTGACTAGCGAGATATTGGGCGGGTCCGCACGTAGCAGATGGTCGCGAAACCGACCGGGGGTGGCGACAATAATGTGTGGACGCTGCTGCAGCGTCAGCGACTGCTTGAGCATGTCCACGCCACCGACGATCACAGCGCAGCGTACAGCCATCGAGCTGCCAAACGCATTAAACTGGTCTGCGATCTGGAAAGCCAGCTCTCGTGTGGGCGTAAGAACGAGAGCGTACGGCCCGTACGGGTCCTTGCTCAACGTGTGCAGAATGGGCAGCGCAAACGCCGCCGTTTTACCGCTACCGGTCTGTGCACAGCCAATAACATCGCGTCCAGCGAGAATGGGAGGGATACAATGAGCCTGGACCGGAGTGGGGTGGCGGATGCCGAGTAGTTCGCAGCGTTTGACCAGCCACGGGTCCACACCCAAATTTAGAAACGAAATGAGAATGTTGGACGCGTTCTCCACCTGCACTTTGTCGCTCTTGGCGATTGTCTCGATACTAGAATCTGAGTCGGATGAGACAGCAGGTGTGGACTCCTCATTGAGCAGTTTGGGCGCAGGCGCGCGACGACGCTTGCCAAACAAAACACTCATGCGTGGCGATTGAGTTGAGGAATGACGTTCGGCTGGCCAGTCAAAAAGGCAATCCCCGACATACTGCCGGACGTCATTATCTCGAGGCAGAAAAGATGTTGGGAGCCCTCGAAAACCCATATATTGGATTTGGAAGGTATCCAATGCAGTCCATTTTAAATTCATTTCAGCTCGCACAAATTTGCCTCAATTTGGAGGGCCGTGTTTTATACTTAATTATTTCGGAATGAAGTACACATCGAAAAAAAAGATCTGCAAAAAAATCTGGGTAGACGCACATATTTAAAAATAGGGACCAAGCACCGCTGTGAGTAGTTTCACCACATATCAAAGGAATAAAACACCACACCGAAGGAGTTGAAGGCCAATGCGCTCAACTCACTACAAGATAATACGATAGCCGTTCTAAAAATTAAAGCCAACGCTTTGTTAGCCTTTACATACATTTATACTAGTTTTTCCAGCGTCACGATGGCGGAGACAGCACGGGTCGTCGTGCTCGGCTTCCGTGGATATAATTTTGGAGAAGTGGTGATGCAGCATCCTACCAAGAGATCAAAGTGCAGCTACCTAGATATACAACTGATAAAAATCAATCTAACGCACTGCACAATAAATCATGTCGACCGTGGCGAAGATCCTCTTGCTGAAACGTGGCACGAGATGCGCTGTAAGCTGACTAAGTGCGCCTCAAAGCGCAGAGCAGTCGTGGGATCAGTTATCATTTTTTTCTAGCTACTTGGTTGGGGCTGAAGGAGCGACCTGCTGTTAATGAATTACGAACGATCGTACAGAAGCCTTGAACGATTGTAGTTTATGTTCACAAATTTCCAAAGGCTAAGAAGCTCCTCACGACCGATAACCTGCATCTCGAGGCTTTCGAAGCTGCCCAACGCGGTGGAGCAGCGCGAGGGACATGTTGGCCCGAATTCAGGAGTTGAAACATGCTATTGTGTTCTTCTTCGAGTATTTTAATAGCGACACGGAAAAAAAGAGTTCAAAGATGTCAAACTAAGTGCACCTGAGCCGAAGGATTGGTTTGCAGTGAAGGATCTTGTGACGTTATTGGACCCGTTCGCTGCGGTAACGGAGGAGTTGAGCGGTGGGTATTCAACTCGGCAATCACATTTCCTTTTTTGCGGTGTATTGATCATTGGCTCTCTCAAACTAGCATATATGACAACGACAGCACTCCGGAAGGTAAACATGCATACGTCAACGAGACGAAAACGTTAAGGGTCTGGTTAGACTGGCTGGTTCTGGCTCTAGGTCAAGCTCTTATTTAGGGGTTAGCTTTTAAAATATCGCTGAATTGCCAGATAGGTCGGGGGTAGGTGTGTTTAAAAAAACTCGAGAGCTATCAGCTCTCGGGTTTTATTGGCACAGTCATCAGGCCGTATAGCTGTTAGCTATGCCACCGCCTCTAGCTTCTATTCTTTTGGCTGTGGAGACCTGTGTTACAGTAGTCGCATTGACATGTGGCTTCTCCTGCATCGTAATGCACGTATGAATGTATTTATCTATTAAATTTGAATCAATGTCGTATATCCGCGTTGTACTCCGCCCACTTCCTCTTTCGCCACTTGATCTGTAAAGTTTGACATTAGTTCTAAAAATTACTTGAATTAGAGTAAATGTTAGTAACACACCTCGTTCTCGCACTGATCCGTCGATATGGGCTTGTCGTAGCGGAGACTCATTTCTGTAGCTAACATGAAACGGGGTACGTAGCCCTAAGTGTACCCTGGTTACATGAAGTGTGACACTTCACACTTCAGGAGTATGACACCGAGATATTTGGTACAAGGTACCAAGGTCGTTCAAAGCCAACCATTGGTTAAATGACATTGCATTTCTATAGGTAACTAACAGTTTGTATTAAACCCAAACTTAACCTACCTATCTATATACTCAGTTTACAATCTACCTTATTTAGGTCACTTCGCTCTCTTTAATTAAAGAGGGGACCTGTGAACTGCCGTTCACTGAGAGTTTGTATACTCTCGGAAGATAACTTCCTCTAGCGCAAGGTGCTGCGTGACCCCGTCACACTTGGTAGCACTTGTAGTCAATCCACGCCACCGTGGGTAGACTACCTGAACCTCTCCGAAGTTCGTTGCCATGGATAGGAACGACTTCTCCCATATGAATGACTCTCAGTTCGAGTCAGTTCGGAAGATGGCAGGCATCTTCAGGATGGAGGCCCTGCAGAGCCTGGTGGTATCAACACCGGCTGAGCAGCTCGAGCGCGTCAATGCATTCGACGCGTACGAGCAGGGCCTCATCGCGCATGTGCGGGAGAACCTGCAGGCTCCGGCGGCGGAAGCAAATCCGCCTCACCCGAAGCCAATACGGCTGAAGATAAAGCCGTATGAAGGGAAGGAAGGCGAGAACCTTCACTTCTGGGTCCGAGAAGTAGAGCTCGCGATGGACGCGGCTCTGATCTCGACCGAGCAACTGCGTGTTGCTTTTGCACTCTCCAACCTTAGCGGTCGTGCTAAGAGTTGGGTGTACACTCGGGAAGCAACATCCCCTGGATGTTTCACATCCTGGGCTCAGCTGTGCGAACAGCTCCGAGCCGCGTTCCTCCCGGCGAACTACGAGTACCGCCAGCATTCGCGCTTCCTCGCGTGTAAGCAAGGAAGGCGCGAACTGCACGAGTATGTGCAAAAGATACGGGAGCTCACGGCGTCCCTAGTGGGAAACCCACTCAATGAACACATCAAGATGACCGTGTTCATAACGGCCTTCGAGTGGGCCCCGCACGCACTCAGCTGTTCCGGGTGCAGGCAACCACCCTTGAAGAGGCGATTCAAGTGGCTCTTCAAGAAGAGTACAGCCATCGCCAGACGCGTACGCCGGCCTCAGCGTGGCCTGGGAGTTCCTTGTCGGCTCCCGGTCGAGCAAGCCCCCAACGGACCAATTCCCATGGAACTCGGGTCCGCCGAACAGCGTGACATCCGCTGCTTCGGCTGTGGGAAGATGGGCCACTTCAAGCGCGACTGTCCCGCGGAAAGACTCCGCAGACGGTCCTTCCCCAAGCCCGTCCTCAAGGGTCGCTGGCAGAAGCCAGGATCCCGGGGACAGGGGAACGCAGGGAACCAGTAGGGGCGGGGCGCCCTACTGGGGAAGAACTAAGTCTTCGTGATGGGTGTGCGGGTGGCGCGTACCACGGGGACTTAGCCCCTGAGAGTCTTCGCACTCTCGAATCGGCGAAGAGCAGCGGCGGGTTGCTCGTAGTACACGGATGTGTACGGGGATACGATCATCCCTTTAAAATCTTGATTGACTCTGGGGCGTCGAAGAATTTCGCACGCCGCCAGACGGTTGCTCGTAACAGCAACAAGTTGTCCGAAGCTTTGAGAGAAAGCAAGGGCAACGGGACGGTGTCAGTGCGACTGGCCGACGGGAAGGTCGTCACTGTCCCCAGCGTCCAAGTGGATCTGGCTGTCAAGTTTGAAGACTTTGACAGCCTCGAACAGTTCACTGTTCTCGATATGGATCCATATGATATGATCCTGGGCATGCCCTGTCTTAAGAAGCACGAGCCCTGGATCGACTGGCGAGGCAAGGCAATCGGTGCCAGCCGCCCTGCGCAGTCCAACAGAGCATTGGTGAGTCATGTTCCCACCTCTGTCAGGACCCGGGGCGCCCGCGAGGGCTGCCAGGGTACCAAAGCATCCGGCAGATGCTTGGGAGTCGTCGACGTATATGACGACTCCGAGGATGTTTTGATGGTGGCAGCGCCCAGAAGAGGCGCTGGCCAAGTGGGTAACTTAGGTCCACAGGCGGGTAACTTAGTTCCGCAGGCAGCTGCAGCTGTCATGAACACTGAGAACAGCGTGTTCAGAGTGGGTAACAGAGTTCCACACACGGTCGCCCAGACCTTAGCTGAAGAGGAAGGCGTTGAACACGCTTCCTGTGTGGGTAACACAATGCCACACGCGGTCGCCCAGACCTTAACTGAAGAGGAAGGCGCTGAACACGCTTCCTGTGTGGGTACAACAGTACCACACGAGGCCACGAGTGCCTCGGATGTCGTAGCGACGACATCCCTAGACGTGGGCAGCAAAGCTCCCCGTCACAGACGCCGTCGACAAAGACGCCGCCGCCGCCTCAAGTCGGATCCGAACTTCGTTCCGATCGACGTCGCCTCAAGCGACTCGGAGTCCAGGGCCCGGGCTCCTCCGACAAGGCCGAAGGAAGAGTGTTATCACTTCTTCGATGGCGAGACAGGTTTACCCGTCAAGGCATCTGGTGTCCACTTGGAACCGTTGCCAGAGGTTGCAGAGATACTGAGCCTCGAGGAAATGACGGCTGAGTCTTTCCTGGCCAATATCAAGGCTGGAGAGATTGCTGAGATGGTACTCATGAGACCTGAGACCACTCAGGTGGAGCTGAACTCCTCCTCTGTCTTGGACGAGAACGTCCTGGAAGACATGAACAAGCAGCGTCAGGCGCGCTTGGGTTCTGAGATTCTCAAGAACCCCAAGGATCCGGTGTATCCTTTGGTGACGGAGTATGCGGACGTGGTGAACAAACATCCACCGACCCAACTCCCACCGGATCGAGGCGTTCGGTACGAGATTGATCTCGTGCCCGGCACAAAGTATTGTGTCACGAGGCAATAGCCTCTCCCGCGCGAACAGTGCGAGGTCATTGATGCCTTCTTCGCCGCGAAAGCGAAGGCAGGCATGGTGCGGGAATCGAAATTCCCGCACTCGACGCCGACTTTCTGCGTTCGTAAGCCGAACGGAAAGTGGCGTCTGGTTCACGATTATAACAAGCTGAACAGCGCAACGGTGCCGGCCCAAACACCGATCCCACGAAAGGATGTGTTGCTGAACAACATGGCCGGGAGCGTACTGTACAGTGCGCTGGATTTGGTAGACGGATACTACCAAATCCGGATGCGAGAGAGTGACATCCCGCTCACCGCGGTAAGCACTCCAAGCGGCATGCTTTGGGAGTGGCTCGTCATGCCGCAGGGTTTGTCTAAC